CGAGAACAGTGAATCGTTGAATGATTCTTCGAAAACCTTTGCGAAAATCCTTCGATTTTTGAAGTTTCTTTTGTGTTTTCTGAAGTTTTTGGTGCGCGATTGGATGAAGAATGGAGAGTTAGAGAGCAGAGGGAAGTGGAACTGTCGCGTGAAAGGTGAGAGAAAGAAGGAAAGAAGGCGGGCACGGTTTAATGTCACGTCTCCTTTTCAAATTGTCAGATCGAAGATTACTATTTTGCCCCCCCCCCCCCCCCCCCCCCCCCGGTGTAGTTACTTTGCATGATCTGACGGTTGAAAAGCTGGATGTATTGGTTACTGAGGGGATCCGCCCCCCCCCCTCCCCCCCCTTAGCTTCTCTTTATGAACTCCATTTTTGCAGTTTGTTAGATGTAGATCGACCTCAAATTCGTTGCTACGGTTTGATTGATTATAAATATATGAATAGTTACCCTTCCTTTTATTAATCTAAGAGATTTTGAGGGGTTTTCCAATGATTGATCTCCTTTGTATCTGTTTGTTTGTTACTCTAAAAGAATACATTTCCAAAGTTTGTGAAACACCCCTTAAAATTAAGGGTTTGATTTGCAAAAGTTACTTACCCGTAACAATCAACTTCATAGTAAAATCAATGAAGAAGATTATGGCACCCTCCCCACGACGTCTTGACCTCTATTTTAGCTTGGAACGTTCGTGGATTGGGGGCTCCTGAGAAAAGGACGAGAATCAAAGGGATAATCAGAAGACTCTGATCGAATATTGTTTTCTTAACGGAAACAAAATGGAATGAATGCTCCCAACAACTCATTATTTCAGTTGGCGGTAGCAGGGCATCAAATTGGGTAGCTAAGGACGCTGTTGACTCTAAAGGTGGGATTGTTGCTTTTTGGGATCCAGGCGAGTATACCTTGTTGGATATGTGGGAAGGGTCCTTTTCCCTTGCAGTTAGGCTTCATTCTATTGATAGCAATCAAGTTTTTGCTCTTATGGTGGTTTATGGACCACAAGAGAAAGAGGAAAAGTTGGCCTTCATCCGGGAATTGCACCAAGTTTGCCAAAGATATTCAGAACCGTTATGTGTGATTGGGGACTTCAATTTAGTCCGTTCTCAGGATGATTACAGAGGGGGACCAAGAAACAGTGAGGTTATAATGGAGTTCAATAGCATGATCACTTCCAACAATTTGTGTGACTTGCCCCTGAAAGGTGCTCAGTTCACGTGGAGCAGTGGTGGTGGTAGAGCTTCCTTGTCCAGAATTGACAGAGCTTTGGTTAATCCAAGTTTTGAAGACGTGTTCGAACCTGGACCCCTAATCGCCTTGGAAAGGGCGGAGTCGGATCACAACCCGATCGTGCTGCAGTGGGGTGGTAATGAAAGGGTAAAGCGACCTTGGAAGTTCGAAAATATGTGGGTTGAAGAACCTAGCTTCTTTGAGCAGTTGGTCGGTTGGTGGAATGTTCCTGTAAGTGGATCGGGGTTTTTGTTTAAGTGCAGTCAAAGATTAAAAAATACAAAGCAGCTAATAAAAGGTTGGAACATAGAATGCTTTGGGAAGATTGATAAGAAGGTGGCGGATCTCTTGACAGAGATTAGGAGGATCGATACCCTGGAGGAGCAAGGCCCTATTTCTGAACAGCTTCATCTTGAAAGGTGCAAAGTGAAGTGTGAGCTTGATAAGGTGTTGTTGATGGAGGAAATCTCTTGGCGCCAGAAGTCTCGCGCCTTATGGATCAAAGTTGGTGATAAGAACTCTGGTTATTTCCATCGCAAAGCAAAAAATAACAGAAGGCGGAACTGTGTGAGAAATATTAGAGTTGATGGAAGGATGATCACGGAGAAAGGGGAACTCCAACAGGCCTTTATCAATCATTTTCGTGCAAGGTTTATTGAGCTCGAGAATGATAGACCTTTCCCGGTTGACTTCAAGGTGGCTTTAATCAATCAAGAGGAAAACCTCAACCTCACTGTCCCCTTCACAGAAGCTGAAGTTTGGAGCGCAATTAATTCGTGTAACGGGGATAAGGCACCGGGGCCAGATGGTTTTACCCTCGCCTTCTTCAAGAAATCGTGGAACATCATTAAAGCAGATGTCCTGAAAGCCTTTGACGATTTCTACCTCAACGGTGTTCTACCGCATTTTGTTGCACACTCTTTCGTGTGTTTGATCCCCAAGAAAGAAGCGGTTGAAGAAGTGAAAGATGTCCGGCCAATTAGTCTCATTGGGAGTATGAACAAAATTATCTCAAAGGCTGTCTTGGCTAGGTTACAGCTGGTCTCGCACAAGTTTTTCTCAAAGTTTCAGTTTGCCGGAAAGAAGAAGAAAGTAATTCATGAGGCTAGTTTGATCGCCAACGAAGCAATCGACAGCAGGAAGCGGAGTGGAAAGCCGGGGATCATCTTAAAACTTGATATTGAAAAGGCATTTGACTCAGTTAGTTGGGAGTGCTTGAGGCGAATCTTGAGGAACATGGGTATGAATGTGAAGCTTGAAAAGTGGATTATGGGGCTGGTTTCTTGTTCAAAATTTTCTGTTCTTGTAAATGGTGAAGCGGCAGGTTTTCGTAGCATGGAGCGTGGCCTTAAGCAGGGAGATCCACTGTCTCCTCTTATATTCAACATCGTCATGGACGTCTTCTCCTTTATAATTGAAAAGATGAAGGAAGAGGGTCTCAGCACTGGGTTCCATTTTGACGAAAGGAACATGAGAGGGCAGGTGGTTCATTTGTTGTATGCTGATGATGCTATTGTTTTCTGCAATGCCTCGGAAGAAGAAGTGTTTAATGTTTTAGCTGCCCTCTTATGCTTTCAATCCATCACAGGCCTCAAGATCAACCTTGATAAGAGTAAGTTGTACCCGGTTGGTGAGGTGGATAACATTGAAAGGCTGGCTGGGATTCTTGGATGTGATTGGAGCTATCTTCACATGGTGTATCTCAGGCTGCCCTTAGGTGCTAAGCCTACATCCACAGCTATTTGGGAACCAATTCTTCTGAAGATGCAGAAGAAGTTAGAAGGGTGGTAGGGTAAATATCTATCTTTAGGCGGTAGAATAACGTTGTGTAATGCAGTCTTGGCAAGCCAACCGCTTAATCAGTGCTCGCTTTTTAGTGCACCAACTTGCATAATTGAGAAGGTTGAGAGAATTCAGAAAGAGTTCATCTGGACAGGTGGGATTCAAGAGAAAAAGATGCATTTGGTGTCTTGGGAGACTTGTAAAAGGCCTAAGAAAGTCGGTGGTTTGGGAATTGTTGATTTGAGGACGCGTAACAAAGCCTTGTTGTCTAAATGGCTGTGGAGATATGCTTATGAAAGAGATGAATGGTGGAGGGAGTTGATCGGCATTAAGTTCCCTCATAAAGCATCGGAATGGAGCACAGGTGAGATTAGTGGATCGATGGGTTGCAGCCCGTGGTCTCAAATTCAGAAACTCTCGAAGGATTTTTGGAAATTAGCTTGGGTGGATCCTAGTTGTGGAGCTTGGACTTCCTTCTCGTACGACGTGTGGATAAAAGGTCAACCCCCTCTTGCCAAAGTCTTTCCAAGGATCGTCGCTGCTTCTACCTCGCCGTGCTGCCGTATTGCTGATGTCTTGCATGTTGGGGAGAGAAATCTTTCTTGGGATATACCTTTAAACTATAATCTTAGAGGTGAGGCTGAGGGTGAGAGATTTGCTCTTTTAAACTTTCTTCAAACTATCCCTTCCACTTTGTTCTCTGCAGGTCCATCAAGAATAACTTGGGAGCCGTCCCCGAGCACCGGATTCAGAGTAAAGTCCATGTATGACTCGCTGTTTGGTGAACAATACAGCAGTGGAATCGTGTTCCCTACTAACTTTGTTTGGAAGCAGTCTGTCCCGTTCAAAGTCTGTGTGTTTGTTTGGTTAGTGTTCCACAAGAAGATTCTAATTCAAGACGTGCTAAAGAAGCGAGGATGGATGCTCCCAAACCGGTGTACCCTTTGCTACGAAGAGGAAGAGAGTGCGGATCATCTTTTCTTGGGTTGCAGGTTCTCGCGTATGGTGTGGCAAGTAATGAGGCGTTTTGTGATGCTTCCTATTAATCGAGATGGGGATATATCTGTTCTAATCGGTAGGTGGCAGCAAAAGGAGCCTGGTTGTCCTCGTGAGTGGTGTTCCAGGGTGTTTGTGCACGCTCTGTGTTGGCGACTCTGGTTGGAAAGGAATGGTAGGATTTTTCGAGACAAGGAGGAATCAGTGAATGTGGTCTCCTTTCGAATCGCTCGTGCTATGGCTGACTGGTTGTGTGCGAATGGGAAGGTTGACAGAACCATTGCGGAGGATTGGATGAGGAAGTTGAAAGAGCAGCTGGTTCCTAGAGTCGTGCAGGAACCGCCACAATGAACTTCTGGTGCCCAGTGGTGTTTCTGATCTATCCTCATTTGCCTTTTGGTTTTGCTGTTTGCTGATGTGCTGATGTTCGGCTGCTGCTGCTGTTGTGCTGTTTGTGCTGTCGATGATGATGTTTGGCGTTTATGGTGTATTTTGGTGGAGCAGCTGTGTTTGCTGTTGCTTATGTTGATGCTATGGCTCTGATGTTCGGCTGCTGCTGCTGTTTGTGCTGTCGATGATGATGTTTGGCGTTTATGGTGTATTTTGGTGGAGCAGCTGCGTTTGCTGCGTTGCTGTTGCTGATGCTCCTGCGGCTTTGTTGGTTCTTCGGTTCCTTTTTGTTTTGATTTGTATTTGCTTTCTGTGTATTGGTGTTCTTGTTCTTTTTGCTGTTTTTTTTTCTCCCCAGCAGCTGCTTTGGCTGGTTCTTGTTGAGCCTCTGTGGGCTGTTCCCTTTTCTATTTTTTTCCTTTCTCTTGTTTCTTTTAATTAATAAATGATTTTACCTTTACCAAAAAAAATGAAGAAGATTATGGCAGAGTTCCCAACGTAGTGAGTATGCTAACTGAAATTAAATGCACTTGGATTTAGAAATCAAAACCCCTTGCAGCGCAAGTGCATTCTTGAGACGTAACTGATCTGTCACAAATTATGTTGTGGAATTCTATTTTCTTTGTTGATAGCTCACCCACTATAATGCATGTATCAATAGTTGGATACTTGGATTGCATCCTCTTCTGTAAGCCGAAAAATCCAAAATAAGCACGGAACTGACACCAATTACACAAATCCCAGAACTCAGAATGATCTTTCTCAAGATGCAAAGTTGCCCAGGAACATCCTCTTGGTGAGCTTAGCAGTGACGATGGCAAGAACGGTCGCCGATGGAACAAAGATGACGTCCGGGATGTACTTGATCATCTTCAACTGGGGCACGTTCTCGCCTGCTCTCTTGGCCGCCATGGCTGCTGGTGGCGTCACTATCCCCGTCACCATTGTCGAGTCGTCTAGTCTGCTCAGATGCACCTTCTTCTTCATAAACGCGACGAACAGCTCCTTCTTTGCCGACCCATCTCCAGCTTTCGTCCACGCATGGAAACATTCCTGCTCGTTCATGGAAAAACACCATGTCAAAGTTATCTGGCAATCAATTCATAACCATTGACTTCCACTGCAAGGTTGCTCTGCAGAAGGAAACAGAGGAGAAGGGAAAGACAAACCTCAACTTCCTTTCGGGAGGGGGCATCGTAGTGCTTTCCTGGTAAAGCTGAGTTGAAAGAGCTGTTTCAAAAAGAGATTACAGGAAGATATGGTCTCGTTTGGAAGCAAGGGGGCGAAAAGGAAAAGGGTGAATGAGGAGAGAATTTGTGAGGTGGTACTTGAAAATGTCGAGAATGGCGAAATGGAAGTCATCAAAGCACTGGATGTCTCTGTCAACAAATTGCTTGTACAGGGTTCCCATCACAAAACCTATCATCTGTGTCGACGGCACTCCTAAATCACAAAACCCACAAATATAATAGTTATAAGAGCAAGTTGATAATTAGCATTGCTGTAAGAAACGAGAATCAGAAAGCACCTCAAAGTCATACCTTTTCCCAGGGAACTCATGAGCATCCCCATTTTCTGGAGATGTGTTTACAGACTTTGGAGATGTTGATGATGGATCGTATTGCTATATAACCAGTGAAGGAAAGAGGGAGAAACTGCAATAGAGGAGATGGGCATATTGCTGGTACACTGCAAGAAAGGAATCATTCTTCTGCTCAGATTTTTTTTATGGAACTTCGAAATCTGATACCTGTCTTGGATGAAGCTATTTGATTAGCTTCATGCAGACAGGAATCCTCTGCTGTTTCTTTCCCCAGGAAAAGAATTTCCCTTTCCAAGTTTGAACACTTTGGTAGAAGAGCTAAAGAATTAACGTCTCAGAATCAATACACCATTCAGTTTACATCACGACTTTCAGCACTACGTAACAAAGGCCTAAGAAGAAGAAAAACAGATCTATAGAACAGGAATGTAAGCTATATTATACATATGTCGCTGCGGTGTTGCAGTAGACAGTGAACCAAGCAAGGGTTGAGAGACATGAGAGGAAGAATATGCAGCTGCTAGCATATACAAAATCAACAGATGGGAGACTATGGTTTTTTAGCAGTTTTCTCCTCTTGGCAAAAAGCTCCTCCTTTTAACATATATATACCAATTACCATATGCACCAAGTAAAAAAACCATTCTTCTTCATTTTTCAGTTGAAGGTTTCCTATTCCATCCCCCTCGTCCAGACCTCCGCTTGCCACGTTTTTGCTTGTTGCTGGTCACCACCCTGGAACGAGATTTAGGAAGTGATTTCCCAGGGTAGTGCATCTGAAGTAATGGAGCCCTTGCTTGAATCGGGTTGCTTGCTGTCTGCACATCGGTTGGTAACTCAGGTTTCTGCTCCTCGGGCTGAGTCACTAAGTCTTCCACAGCTTGTGCAATTTCTTTCCTTGCTGGCTGATTAAGAGTCACAAAAGCTTCGTTCTTCTGCAAATAGGGAAGACCAAATCAGTAGCTAATCATAGAGTCTGCTTCCTATGATGGCCACCATACAAATTGAGAGTGGCAAATAAAAAATATGGATTGACAAAAGCACCATTTAAAAGGATGCAATGACAATGAGCTTTGTTGTACAAGACTTTACAGGGTTTATTGCGGCTGGGTCTTAGAAAAAGTTGATTAGTTGATAGAGTATGAGATATGTTTTAGTAGTAAGAAAGTAATAGGTGGATGATAGATAGCTTAGTTAATGGGAAATACTTATAATGGACATATAACTTCAAGAATCAATTTGTATTTCAAAGGGACAGAGATCAATAAATATTTTAGTGAGTTGATATTTAGATTTAAGTGATGTGTGTGAGAGTTATGGTGAATAGTAATTTGAAAATGTCATACGGAAAAGTGTCCTTTAGCCTAACAAACACACCTTTTATTTGTGGCATAGAAGACAAGGAAATCATTACCAGAAGAACACTTACACTTTCACTAGGAGCCCCATCCGAAGGCTGATCTAGGGTTTCTGGCATATGAGGACGAGAGGCTGCCTCACCCTGACTTGAAACTGGAATTCCAAGTATATGATCTTCCACAGGATATAGAGATCTAACCACTCTATCTCCATTTTCAACAAAGGAACCAGGGTTTTCCGAACAGGCCAACACATCATCTGGTTCAGGCGAGGTTAACCTAGTCAAATAAGAGAACTTTCCTGGATTATCTCTCATCACCACATCGATTCGGGACCTCAACCTATGGACTTGGTATTGTAGAGCTCCGATTTTCATAAGGATGTCTTCATCTCTGCCAACCCCATCTTTAGAATGTAAGGGTGCCCATCCTTCTTGATGAAATGCAGACTTTGGATCCGCTTTGCCTGTCCTCTCTGCAAAAAAGGGGGAAGAACCTATTTAAGCACAATAAGATCCTGCAAGCCTCTTTCATCTTTTTAGTTGTTTAAACAATAGTTCTTCTAGACATTTTATATCCTCAATTCACTACACAATCCGCAACATGCCCTTGGTACTCTATCTCTAAGAGAATAACCACCAGTAAGTTGAACCAATTCTTTGACTTCTCACCTGGAAGAGTGGGATCACCGTCCATAGAAGCACCATCATTGGCTGTCTTCTTATGTTCTGGATAAAACAAGATTATGTGCAGTAGAATTATTACTTTCGAAAACAACAAATACGATATAGAGACTACATAAGCAAGAACAGGAAAGAAGTTCCCACCATAATAGGAGAGGATGTTATTCTGCAACATAAATGATGTCATATCATTCATCTCTTCATATCTCTTTCTTTTCTTTCTCTTCAAGACTTTCATCCTCGGATTCGAAGAAGAAAATGGTTTTGACTTTGCTTCATGACCTTCTGCTACTAATGACTCACGATCAAACGTCTTCCTTTGTTCAATTTCTCCAAGTTCTCTATCGTACTTCAGTGTCTGGGATTGAAATTCCTTAAGCTGCAATTCTATCCACTTACATCGCCACATAAGAGGACGAATGAATCTCCTCCAATGTTCGGTTAACCTTTTCCTCCTAGAAAATTGGAAATGAAAACATAAATCCAAGTGGCAATATCAAGTTTTGATGCGAACTAACCAAGATTATGCATCAAAGCAGAGCAACTGAAAAATCCCTTATCGAAACTTCAACATAGCAACATGATGATAGAAGCATCCCCCTATTATGTATTTGGACAACATATGCACATCGAAATGAAACTTCCTTAAAAGTAGTCAGAAAATGGTGAAACAAAGCTAGTATCTTTCTCCAGCTATATCTTAGTAAATCTCACAATAACGTGAACTGAGTAAGGAAAGCATACAATGTAAAAACAGTGACTCATGCAAAATACTTCCCTTTCTGACAACTGTTGTAACTATATCAGCAGAGAACGAAGATTTTCTAACAGTAAATACCTAGATTGAGATTCTGCACCATAGCTATCAAATAATGAAGTTGAGTGACCACCACGGCACATATACGATTCAACCTCATTATCAGTCAACATAAGGTCATTTTCTGTCTCAAACGAGCTGCTGAATGAACTGATGCTCTCGCTGGTGTCATCGTTTTCAGTTTCCACATCTCCAACGTCTTGAGAATTCGAACAATTAACTATATCAACTTCCAAATCCTCAGTTGTCTGCTGCACCTCAGCTTTGTTTTCAGGCAAAGCTTGTTTGGGACAACATCCGTCATCAAGTTTATCTGTGCAAGGCACAGAATTTTCATTGCCATGTGGGGGAAGACTTTCAGACTCTTTCTGAGGCAAGCCCTCCATTCCCACCTTCATATGATCTTTTATCTCCAAATCTGGGTCCATGCCCACAGGATCCACTCAATGCCTAGCAAATCTGCAGTAGCAGAACAATCAGGCAATTTATTTCTTAATCATATTACAAACCCAGCAAAGGAAAGAACTTCTACACTAACTCAGTTGAGAAGGGACGATATTGCAGCGGAAGAATCCATTACCAAACAGCTAACACGTCAGATTTGCGCTTTCCCAGTTATACAAGAAGGAGCTAGAGAAGTTAGTTTCTTATTAGTGGGAAAAGGGATTTGATTAAAAATAATTTCCCATTGAATTTTGATTCTTCCCACGCTGAAACAAAGCAAGAGCCCCCTCCCTGGAACAAAATAAAGGACTCGACAGTAAGATTTCGAGAAACAAAAACCTCCGAAACAGTTGTTAAATAGAAGGGACTTTTTACTGAAACACGAGCAGACAAGTTAAACTTGGACGATTCTCGAAGTTGAATTCGGCGATACTCAAAAGGGGAAAGGGATTCCCTTTTCAAACTAACTCGAGCAGTAATGCAAGAGAAACCAGACGACGAGAACCAATTTTGAATTACCTGGAAGAGTCTAGGGCTCGCAGGGGTCATTTTGCTGGCGTAATTCGACGGAGAAGTTCATCGACGGGGCTGGCGAACTGCCGGAGAATCTCCGATTGCTGTAATTTCCGCCAGCACGGTGGTCGAGGGTCGAGAGAGACTTGTTGGGTACGAAACGTGTTATCAGGAGCGAGACCAGAAAAGCCAGGCCGGAGAGAGGGAGAGAGAGCTTTCTTTTGGGCAGTTGAACTTTTCTTTTTCTTTTACTTTTTTTCCTTATTTTGATAATCGTTTTTGTTTTCCTTATTTCATTTCGCCTTTCCCCATTTTTCGAACCTTCCAAACTGGTTTCACGCTTTTGGTTTGGATTTTTTTCTCACGAAATCTACGAAGGAGCTACGAAATAAAAACACCAATAACAACAAAAATATTTGGCCAAAACACCAATAACAAATTATTAACTCTAGGATAAAATAAAAATACTCATGAATTCCACTCCAGCTACTTAGGCCCCGTTTAGTATCGATTTGTTGCTGTTGTGGTTGTAATGGTGTTGTGTAAACAGATGTACAACCACAACAGGAAAAAAACAGAAAACTCAGACCTGTTTAGTTGATAATCTGAAAAATATTGAAACAGACAACAAGAACAAAAACGCGTTCAATTACTACTATTAGAATTAAAAACCAGAAAAGAGAGGAGGTGACGGCTAGGGGAAAGGATTCGAAGTCGGCGACGGGAATCGAGGGGAGGAAGCGGCAGGGGTTGCGAGGTCGGGCGACAGGGGAAAGGGAGGCGGCGGGGGCAAAGGGACGAAATCGACGACGAGGGGGAGATGGACGATATCGGCGACCTGGGTCTCGAGAGGAAGAAGTTGAGAGAGGGAGGGAGCTGTTGGGCGGCGGGTTTGGGAGAAAATGAGGATAGGGTTGGCCGACTAGGGTTTGGAGGTGGGTTTGGGAGTTAAAAAAAAAGAGAATTTTTTTTGCTTTAGGTGGGATTCGAATTGAGGGTTGTTTTAATGAAAACAAACGGAAATCCCGTGTAAAACATGTACAAGAATCAAATCCAAAGCAATAAATTGTTGTTTCTCAAATTTGGGCCCTATTGTGCAAATCTGATTCACAACAGAAAATAGAAACCCAACTAAACATGTTTTTTTTTTCTTGGTTTCTCCAATCTTGAAAAACACAACAGAAAACAAAAACAGACAACAATACTAAACGGGGCCTTAGCTTCTAAATCCCTACATAGTGAAAAAGAAAATTCTAATCAAACGAAAAAAAATCTTAAATCACTTTTATTGTTTGGAGATATCGGCTCTGAAATGACCTTGGAATTTTATTAAATGAGACATATAAGGTGGAATGAATTCAAGCACCTCGGGCAACTACTTTTCCTGTTACAAGTAGCTTCCATGGTGGTCTTCAATCACGCAAGAGCCAGATCTTACTCTACCAACTACTGATCAACATATGTAAAATGCCTAAAATTGGATCATCTGTATGGTGCAGTAAAATTTGGTGTTATACCAAAACTCTCCTAGGGCAATTGATGCATAATGGGTTGACTATGTTATCCATGAAGACTGTCGACCCATTTTTGTTGTTTTTTTTCTTAATCAATTAGGAGTAGGCTTTTATTAGTGTCATCTCGAAAACAAATCTACATCGAACTGGGTGAAGTACTGCACCCAGAGCTTGAGCTCTCTTTATCAAGTGAGACTCGGAAGTTAGGGTCACATCGTCTTAGTAAGGAGAGGGTCAGTTGCAGTTGCAGTGATCTTCGCTTGAATTTCGTGAGGGAGAAGGTGAGAAAAACTATGGAGAAGCCATCCACCATTATTTTCAAGGTACTGGGCAATAGTATTCGTCTTCATTGCTTAAGGAATTGGGCTTGAGACGACTTCAGATAGATGAACGTGCAAACCCACAAACCCGACCAGAATTTAGTCTTACATCCATTATATATGTGTCAGCCGAAACCCTTCTGAAAAAGTTCACAACTTTAGAGAAACTACACCAGACAAAGGAACTTTTCTGAATATGCTTAATGATGTAAATGTTCCCCTCGTCGGTCACATTTGTTACAGACAAGTTGTGTCGATAGGTTGTCTTTCTCCTTCAGAATTTGCCAAACATTCCTTGGCTAAGAGTGTCAGCTTAGAATATCTCAAATACCTCAAGCCATCTCCTCCTTGCAATTTAGGCTCCAAAAGTTTATCCTAAGCAACAAGGTGACTAACCGGGTAACTATGAGTTGAGCAGCAAGAGTCAAGTGCTTATTCTTTCAATGAGCAAGCTTCTTTTGAATCTGCATGATCATATCACGGTATCTGGCTTTGGTGATTCATCTATGGATGGCCCAGATGTTGAGGTACCATCCTAGATCTGCCGTCACAGGATTGTCAATTTGCCAACTTAGTCTTTATGCGCTTTGCCTAGAGATGTTTAAGGAAACGAACATAGATGACTCAGAAAAGTTAAGTCTTTGTCCTGAGCCCCCACAAAAAATCATGTAGGCACTTTTTGATGATTTAATTTGAGAAAGCTCAACCTATGCAGAAAGCACCATCTACAGAAAAATGTGAGAGAGCCGGACCATTTTGAGATAATTTTATGGGTTTCCATTGTTTACCGTGAATTGCCTGAGCTTCACCATCTCCCTATCTGACACCTCGTGTAGGAGTGATCTGTTGGGATAGCTCTCAATTCCACGGTAGCCTCATCTGGTTATTCTCTACACAACACAAAATGTTGCTGATCCTAGGGCCCTAGAGGCTCATTTCCTTCAGAGTATCTCGTAAGAATTACCATTGCAGCCTATCATAAGCCCCTTTTAGGTACATATTCAGTCCTAGACCACCCTGCTTTCCCTTTTTAATCCTTGGAGAGTGAAACACTTCTTTCACAATAATAATGTTGTCTGTAGTTTTGCAGTCGGGAATGAAGTTGCTATGTCTGAGTGACACAAGCTTACTCATGATCGACTTCAACTAGCTAGTCGTAGCCTTGGTAATGGCTTTGACATTGTTGAAGGAGATTGGGCGAAATTGCGTCACACTTTCTGGGTGGTCTACTTTGGGAATCAAAATAACATTTTAATATGAATAGCTTCCAGGAGTGACCCATTTTGTAAGAAATTCATCATCGTCTTAGTGGGACCCTTTTATACCGTAGCCCAAGCATGTTGGTAAAAAAATATCTAAAATCCATCAGGTCCGAAAACTTGTGGTGGCTTCATCTCAAAATTTGTCTTGTCAATATCAACGAGGGTGAAAGGATGGAGGAGTAGAGTCCACTCATCCAAAGAGAGTCGAGGAAAAGCAACCTCGGGCGTATTTCTCTCGAGCACGCTGGAACCAAATAATTTCTTCTTTCTCTAAAACCTTATCAAGCTTGGATTCTAGTTTAGAATGAAGCTTGGCAATGCTTGATGAGAAGGAAGTGGACAACCTTGATTCAACTCTTAGAATGCGGATAATGGGAGTTTGCTTCTTCTGTTGGATATTGCCAAATACATTAGAGTTCCAAGCTTGAAGTTTGGTGGACAAATCCTTAAGAGTGCCAGGTAGGGGCAATGTCGTAGGAGTCTACCAAGAAAGTCATGAAATCAACATGAGTAAGGAAGTCGGCTTCGAATTTAAATTTATGAGGACAAAAATGAGTAGGGATATTAGAAGAAGCTCTTTGATCCATGATCATAGTAAGAATTGGATGATGATCAGAATGAATGCGCGAGAGATGGAGAACAGATGTGTTGGGAAAGGGGAGATTCCAATCCGAGTAATAGAAACTTTTATCTAGCCGACTGCACTTTATAAGTAGTATGATGGTCTCCTCTTTCCCAGGGGAAGAAAGGCCACATAAACCAGCTGTGTGCAGTTAATGCATTTGTTGAAGATTTTGCAATATCACAAGGTATCAGGCGTTGAGGGCCCTGACTTCTCTTCCAGAGAAAGAATGAAGTTAAAGTCTTTAATGAGGATCCATGTGGGCTCAACAAGTTTTCTTCAGTCACTAAGAGTATGCCAAAGTAGGCATTGAGCAGTCTAAGAGGGGAGGCATGGACGCTCATTGGGAGGACGAGTCTTCAGATTTTTTTCAATGTGATGTGTTAAGAACAATCTGACACGAGCTGGGTGGAGAAAACGAGCTTCGTGGGTGGGGGAGGGAACGTTATCTATTTGGATATAGGTCCCATTGGTCATAGTAAGAGTGAGGGTGGGAGGAGTGGTGGTAAGGGTTGTAGGATTAGAAGAGGAAAATGACCTTGAGTCCATAGTAGAACTTGTGGGCACTTACAGTTCAGAATCAAGCGAATTGGTAGCGGTGTGCTCTGCTAAAAATCATGTTGGATTCAATTTAGTAGTCTTGGTTGTGAGGGCGGCGAAGCTACTATCGATGGGCTTGCACCCAGTTTTCTTTTATGGGTTATTGTTGAGGACGAGGTCTAAAATTCCTTTGATGTTCACCCTTGATTCTGC